AGCAATGCTGCAACCTAGCTTTCCTAGCTTCCCTGAAGGATGTTACAGAAATTAAATATTTCTACAAGTTATTTCATGGCTCATTGTTTTATCCAGTTGCTAATTTATGCAGATGTGTAGTTCAAATCGCTATATAGGCTGCTTCAACGCTTTGCAACAACTGCTTCCCAGATCGACTTGTGGAAAACAGTTGAGTTGATTCCAAGAAAAGAATGCACGAGATCTGAGAATGGTGATACTGTTCTCACTCAGCATCCTGACTGCAACAGCAGCCATACAGTTTCTTTTGAGGCCACGTCTGTCTCACAGCCTTGAGCATACTCTCAAGGAAGTTGATGAACAACTACATATGACATTTCCCCACCCTTCAATGACTGATATCTGGAGGGGGTTTGTTTCTTAGTTTGGGGGCTTGCTTCGATCCCAACCTGACCTTCCCTTTCTGGGTCAAAAACAGAAGGAACTGTTAGTGGTCCATGTACGAGAATGTAAGTCCGTACTGTGGCCTTAGTCCATAGCCCAAGGCAAGGAATGTGTGTTGCAAGAAGATTTTTGGACTGGACGCCTGTTGTTACATTTAAGAACCATCAAGCTTAAATCCTAACTGCTGTGCCAAAGGCTGGGGAAAATGAATGTGGTTGTCTTGACACAGAGAAGAATAGTGAACTCTGCTGGCTGCAGCCAGTGTGAATTGGTGGATTGATGAAACCAGTTTCCCTACATAAGATGAGAAAGGGAATGTCTGCTTCCTGTTCTCGCTCTCAATTTCTTTTCTTTTTCTAGTTTCATTTTTCACCTGCACTCTTGTATTTTAGTGGTCCTTGTATTGCTAGCTTTTTTTGCTTGCCTTGTGTACGTGTAGGCCATGTTTCTTATTTCCCACTGAAGACCTTTGAACTTCAGGCTGGTTTTCTTTCTTTTTCAACTCCTTAATCAAAATCTTCTCTTTCTTTTTGCAGCCAGATACGTGACAAGGTTTGTAGCCAGTACTGTTTAACCTTGGGTAGTACTGGAAATATTTTTTCTATTTATGCTGTTAGGTTCTGATTAAAACTTACTGATGCATTCACCTTTGCCTAAAGTTGGAAACAGTTTGAACTTGTTAGTTTGAGAGAGAGAGTGACTGCTGCCGAGTACTTTTGTGGTTTCTGCGTTTGTAATGTTATGGCCTCTGTGGTACTTCACCCTCTGTAAAATGACACTGGATGCTTGGATTTCATCTATTATAATGGAACTTCTTTAAACTAGAAGAGTAGGCTCTTTACCCTCCTTGCCTGTTCTGCTATTTAGAAAGTTCTGGATAGTACCAGCAGTTATATCTGGAGTTCCAGTACTGCTCTGAAGTTGAGTTCCTAGACTCTGAGTATCATCTCATGGAGTCTTACAGGATCCAACTTACTCTGTACTCAAGAAGCTCCTGTCGGTAAGTAGTAAGTCAGCACCGCTTCCTGAAGCAGAATTATTGAGATGGTGACTGCTGCAAGGGAACCCACTATGGTACTGCCTGAAGAGCTGTGCAGTGAGAAGTGCCTGCTCGGGAGGTTTGGGCTCATCAGCTGTGATGCCTTCTCCAGAGGAGTGGGAGAACAGTGGAGACACATTATAGTTCTCAAAGGTGTATTTTCATTCAAAGGCCTCTTCATTCCCTTTTCAGAAATCCACGTGTTGGCTTTACTTCCACCCATTTCTCTTTCCTCAGGTGGGGATGAGAAGTACAGAAAGGTTAATCGAATATATAAGAGTCAAAGAAGAGCTTTTTCTTCTCTTGATTCATCCACACATGTTGCAGAGGGTCCTGTGGAGCTTCTGGTCATTCTGAGGGCTTCATAAACCAGGGAAAGTGGTTTCTTCTAATTCCTCCAGTACTACTGCTTTACTTTGGATTAGTCCTGGGTTTAGGTCGTCTTTTGGTCTAGGCATTAGTTTTCCTGCTTTTTTCTGTTACCTATGTCTCATTTCATGTGCTGGGGGGGGAAGAGTGCCTTTTACCCAGAATTTTGCTGTTGCTTGAACATGCTTGAGAAAAATTAGAGGTTTGGGGATTTGGGGGGGGAGGACCTTTTCCATTGTTCTTTCAACTCTGTGCTCCCCTCTTCTATCTGCAAAGGCAAAGGCTATTCCAATGAAGTACCACTGGGTGGTGGTTCTCCTGTAGGAGAACCAAATGAACAACAACAAAAAAATCCTTGTGTTAAAATGAAAGTTCCTCTATTTTGATTTTTCCCATCCTTCTTCTTCTGTTACTTGGCATCACCGAGGAGATTTTCGCTCCAATTTCTTTACTCCCCCCACCAGGTCATTAGTATGCCCAGAGAACGTCCCCCTGAACTTTCTCCACTCCAGTAAAGAAACAGTCACAGCTCTCTCAGCCTCTCAACATAGCTCATGTGGTCGACAGCCTTCAGCATCTTCATGGCCATTGTAGGCCTGGAAGCTGCATGGTATCTATTTTGGAATTCACTTCTGTGTGTCACAGACTTGACAGAAACAATGTAGGAGTCACAAGTATCATCAAATGTGAACGGCAGCATAGAGCGCCTGGTCTATGACTCTTCAAAGATCTGATTTCTTCTTAGGAAGACTTTGAAATCAGAATGATTAGTGAGAATAGCTTAGTTATCCCCTAGAATAACCACCTGCTAGGGGAGACAGGATTAAGTGCTCCTGTCTAGTGATCTGGGCTGACTTTTGTTGTGTAATAAAACCCGCTTGCTATGAGGAAGCTCTAGCTGTTGGGTTTTTTTCTTAGTACAGATTTTGCAAGAAAAACTGGTGTCTCTATATTTTTATATATGAGTGTCATGGTATTTGCAGTAACAATAAAGAAAAGTCTTGGCCTGACCTGTAGGAGCTCTTTCCATTTTCCATCTTAAGATGAAGAAAAGAATACTAGCACATGCTTTTTCCTATACAATGATATATGTCGACCCTGCAGCAGCTGCTGTTGCACCTCTTCCCTTTGGAAGCTGCAGAAGCCAGCATCAACTGAAATGCTCCCTGTGGATGGCACTTGTGCATATCTCAGCATTTAGCTGACGGTCTGCACGTGTATTGGATGATCAACTTTAGCTATATCCTCGTTGCAATAACTCCACCGTGCTTTCTTGATATTTTTCAGTTGCCCAGTTATAACCCAGCTAGTGAGTTACAGCTTGTTTTGCACTACTATTACCATTGATGGCTCAGCAATGAGAATGCTACAGCCTGGCTGACTAAGAGTTTCTCTTCACTAAAAATCAACCCCCCTACCAAGATGTCTCTATTTGGAATTATATTATTGTGGAATGATATTATTGTGACATTATCTGTGGAGGTTAAGAATGTTTTAGGAGTTTTAACAGTCATATTTAGGTAATAGTACCAAAACTCTGTATTAACTGTAAATCTTAACTCTGTATGTTGTTTAATTCTAGGTACGACAGGAACTGGATGAAAAAATCACTAGAGACCTTCAACAAGGTAATCTGTCATTATGTTAGGAGGGTTTTTAAGGAAAAAGGTGACTATTTCTATCTCTTGACAGCTCTTGAGCCATTTTTATCAAGTTCCTGTGATAAGCAGAGGGTTTTTTTCTGCTAGCCTTCCACTTGAGACTTGAATGTGAAAACTTCCTGCTTACCAAAATGTTGCGTACAATGTTATGCAGTTGCCTGGAAAAAGCCAAGCACAAAGAAACCCTTGGCTTAAGCTGAAGTTGCCCTTCACTAGAGTTCATCTCAAGCACAAACAGCAAAGCAGCCACAAGATAAGATAAGCTTCAGCCATCACTTCCCCTCCCATGTACACCGATGGCATTCAGCACTAAACCGCACCATACCCATTCTTTGCTGTTGGTTCCTGATTTTTGCTATGATTCTATGATTCATGGCTTGTCTTGGTAGCTTAGGTGGTGCAGTCTTTTTTGGAATAAACAAGAAGATCAGTGACAAAAGATAATCTGTTTTTAGGAAACGATTATTCAGTACTTTTTTGGCAAATATCAATTCAGTGCTTGCCGTACGTAGCATAAATCATGCAGTAGAATTTGAGGCCAGGTGTCCAAAGAGGAAATGCACCTGTTCCATGGTAATTTCTTCCTCCAGAGTTACTGCTTTGCAGTGCCTGGTGCTGTGTAGTAGTAGTAGTGTGGCAATAAATCACTGGTTTGAACATAAAAGGAAAGCAGAGACTTTGGGGGGCTGTTTAGCATGGGAGTCGTTTGTGGATTGCCTGAAGGTGTTCAGTGTGTAGCCTCCAGAATGTCTTCCACTTGCTTTAGAAATGCTGTTGACGGATAAGCAATTGTGGAAAAAATGGGTTTCTTCCTTTGCACCTAGCCCTTCCGTTGTTATGTTCCCTTGGAAATTTTAAAGTCTCTGTCTGGATGGCAGTCTCTTGTGTTGCCTGTCATGTTCTTGCCTTGCCTTATTTTGCCCTGTCTGCTGTAAAAGTAATGCCAGGAATCTTGTGTCTTTTCTCTCCAGCTACTGCTGAACTTGAAAGGGGATCTGCTGGATCTTCAAAAAATCTTCACGTGGACCAGGATCCCCTTTGCAGAGCAATAGAGGAGTACCGTGATGTTTTAACCAAAAATTACCTGATTTGAACGAAATGCTACGAAAGGCTCTGGAAATCATTTGGTTTTCATAGTGCATCTGTGGTTTCCCATCCCTCAGTTCAGATGTGAAAACATGTTTCTTGCAGTCGGAATATAAACTCATAAACTGTATTAAATGGATGTCAAGCACATTGCACTTACCTGTTGGTTTACTGATGCATAGGTGGTTTCTTTTGCACTCACAATAAGAACCACATCCATTTTTTTCTGACTAGCAGATTGACTGATCTTGACTCTTGAGGTTGACAAAATCATCAAATTTATTTCTTATTATGGTCAATGCATTAGCGTTTGCTTTGTTCTGTTAAATCATTTTAGTCAATGTGTTTGGAATGTTTCCAGTGTTATTTTAATGTTTAGGACATTATTTGATGGGCTTTCACCCTGCTGCTTCAGTCCTGATGCAGTGACTGTTTCTGCTGATAAAGTTTTAGAGGTGTTCAAGCTGTAGAAAAGGGCACTTTACATTGTCATCACTTTATGCGATGTAGGTTTAAAATGACTGAGTACGTAGTAGTACTAAGAGTTGTTATATGGTCTTTTTGGTTTGTTTGTTTTGTATCACAGAATGGGTGAGTTTGGAAGGAACCTCTGGAGGTCATCAGGTCCAGCCCCCTGCTGAAGGAGGGCCACCTAGAGGCAATTGCCCACATCTGAGTTGGCTTTTGAATACCTCCAAGGAGGGAGACTCCAGAGGCTCCATGGGCAGCCTGTGATAGAGCTCAGTCACGCACACAGTACACTTGAATACCATGAGAGGCAATGGGCACAAACTCAGTACCTTTTCACAGTATTGGTGTTGATTTCTGTATTAAAAATTGCTGCAGTTTCAGACATTTGCAGCTCTTGCATCAAAACCTATGGTGCACCCAAAACATTTCTAATCGGAGGGAAAAAAATGAATGTTAGTGCATCAACTTTAAGTTTCCTCAGTACTCTCCAGAACTTCTGTGATAGGATAGGCAGTCTTTTTGTTGCTGCTAACAGCTGATGATACGGTGTCTGTAACCCAGCTGTTAGCCCAGATGTGGTGGGACATTGTGTCAACCTTACAAGCAGCTTTACTTATTTCAGGGAACTACCAGTTGTTAATGAAGATCTGAGTTGTCATTTCCCATCCTGAAAAGTCACCAGCAATCTGAAGACTATAGAACAAAGTCCCAGTTCTGGAAAAGATGGATGTAAGAATGATTGTACTGAGATGTAGAAGACTGGAAAAATTTGGGGGAGTTTACTGACTAATTCAAGGATTTAACAGTCAGCGAGGAAAGCATTAAATGCTGCTGTGACATTCTTCCTTTTTATATGAATACATTTTTGTGAAGCTAACACACTGTGTATAATTCAACTTGATATTTAATAAACTTTGCAATCCAGGACATGCCTTTTGTTTTATTGTTCCCCTTCTTGACATTCCTTTACACCCCTTCTCTGCCCATAGAACTCTCCAGAGCTCTCCTCTGCTCCCTTCAGCTCTGCTCACAGGTGCATCTTCAGCCTGTCCCAGAGGCCAGGCAAATGTGTCCCCTTCCTCTGTGAAGACTTGAAGCACAGTCGTGTTAAGATCATGGCCTACAGGTGAGCTATTGCTACTAATCAGCTGCCAGACTCTTCTAGTGCTTTAGAGCCATCCTCTTTGTGTTCCAGGCAGAAGATAATAGTGGGTGAGCTTCTGGTAGCCATAAAACACAGGCAAATCCCTGTTTTTAGCCCTCAAAGATAACAGGAAATTTCTTCAGCCTGCTTGCGGTGCACTGTAGCATCCCCTCCCCTGAGAAAGCTGGTGCAGAACCTCTGGGCCTTCACTTTGTGTTGTCATGGGGACAAACTGGGACAAGACGTGTTTGAAAGTTTCTTCCTGCCTGCTGTGTGCTGCCCATTGGCTGCTGGAGCAGCAGAGCAGAAATTCACTGTTGGCATCTGGCAAAGCAGCAGGTGACAGCAATTACAACGGGGTGGGGGGGAAGAGGCTAAAGAGAAATCCAGTCCATTCCTTCACTTGAAAGTCCATCTCCAGTGTCACAGCAAGGACACTTGATGATCTCAGAGAACCCAGGGCAGTCAGGGAAGCCTCCTGAGGCCTGGAAGCCAGGAAATACCTGGCTGGTCTTCAAGAAGGGCAAGACAGAGGAGCTGGGGAACTACAGGCCAGTCAGCCTCATCTCACTGCCTGGGAAGCTGATGGAGCACATTCTCCTGGAAGCATTTCTGAAGATGTTAGGGACAAAATGGTGATGGGGAGGAGTTGGCATGGGTTTGTAAAGGGGAAAATGCCAATCTGGTAGCTTTCTACCATTATGTGAGTAATTCCATGGATAGAGGGAGAGTGGTGCGTGTTTCTTTCCTTTAGCACAGCTTTCTCTGGCTTGCACCATAACAGTCAAGTTTAGGTTTTGGGACTTCCTGATCTCTTTCCAAAGAGAAAGCAACCATGTCTCCTAATTTCCTTTCTTGCTAAGGTATGTTAGAAACTCAGGTCAGTATTGTGGGTGGATTACTAGATTTTGTAATTTGATTGTACAGAATATACAATTCTGTTTTAGAAAATCTAATTATACCAGTTGTTTTTTCACTCAAGAGCAAATGATGTAATAAGTAATCTGGGTTTTCCAGTCTTCAGAATGTTGCACTGAACTGCAGCTGCAAAACATGATTCGTTTTTGTTATAGCCAGAGTAGTGTCTTGAACACTTCATTAAAGGCTGTTTGAGTAGTGCTACTGTAGTCCTTGCATGTCCACCTAGTGGGCCTTGACCTCTGAAATATCCAGAGACCTGCTTATAGTTCGTTGCTGACCTCTGCAGCTCTAATTGCATCATTGATGCTTTGCAGAGGAAATATAACTCTGGTCTCCTGTCAGCATACTGACCAACTTTGTCCTGTTTTCATCTTCCCTTTACCTTCAAGGCACCTCTCACCACCCTTATCTGGATATAGAGAAAATAATCTAATTAATAATCTGTTAATGAAACCAAACAAGCTACAAGATCTATTTGCCCAAAAAAGCCAATAGTAAATGCTTCTTTACTGCTGGCTCTTGGTGAGCCAGCTCATCAAAAGAGGCAATTGTCCCACTCTGATCTGCATTGGTGCAGCCTCACCTTGAATATCGTGTGCAGTTTTGGGCACCACAATATAAGAAAGATATTAAGCTCTTAGAGAGTGTCCAAAGGAGGGCAGCGAACATGGTGAAGGGCCTGGAAGGGAAACTGTATGAGGAGCAGCTGAGGTAACTTGGTCTGTTCAGCCTGCAGAAGGGGAGACTGAAGAGAGACTTCACTGCAATCTTCAACATCCTCATGAGGGGAAGCGTAGGAGCAGCGACCTCTTCACACTTGTAACCAGTGACAGGATTCGAGGAAATTACACAAAGCTGAGTCAGGGGAGGGTTAGGTTGGATATCAGGAAAAGGTTTTTCACCCAGACGGTGGCTGGGCACTGGAACAGGCTCCCCAGGGAAGTGGTCACAGCACCAAGCCTGACAGAGTTCAAGTGTCTGGACAACACTCTCAGGTACATGGTGTGATTCTTGGGGTGTCATGCGGAGGGCCAAGAGTACTTGATGTTCCTCATGGGTCCCTTCCAACTCAGTATATTCTCTGATTCTATGATTTATTGACTGCTGGACAAAGCAAACTGAAAGCCAGTGTTAACATCTAGCATAACAATAAAGGAAAGTCTGGTCAATTCATTAACTTCAAAAATGATGTTTGGTTTTTTGTTAAGTAGTGAAAAACCTATTTTTAAAAGTGTGTGGCTGATTCTTGGTGTTCAGTGAAAACAGCTGATACCACATTACATGACAATACATAGGGTCACTATCCTAAGCTTAAGCAGTACTTTAGCTGAGGTTACTGTAATAGCTGACCATTCTACTACTTACTAGCAGTATGAATTATTAATCATTAATTATTACTATTAACTTAATCACTGCTATAAGCACAACAAGGACAATGAATTACATAGGCAAGCAGCACAGTCCATGCTTTATTCAGGATAATTTGGACCATGTACTAGTGGGGCCTTATGAGTACAGCTGTGTATTGCAAATGACAAGGACAATGTAATGGAGCTCTAGGTATCTTTGTAAACAAAAAACTGCCTCCTTCACGTTTATAAACACTTGTGATACCTATGTCAACAGTGCTGCCAGTCACCTTGCCACTGAATTGTTGATTGCTATAGCCTTAGTGAAAAGTCACTTTTTTATCCCCAGTTGTATTACCAAAATCCTGTACATACAACTACATTCCCTGTTTCAAAAATGAGAAGACAGTTAATATCCAACTCAAATGCTCCTCTTGAATGGCTTTTCATGAAAGAGGATGGTGCTTACATATTTTTAGCACATCAAGGCAAAAGTAACACAGTACAAAGCTAACAGTTCTTTCACAGCATCTATGCAGCCAGAGCAGAAATTATTTACCAAGGAATTCTGAATGATACAGGCACATTTCATCTCCCTTTTCCACGCAATTTTTCAGAGTAACCTAATCAACAACATGCCTTTGTATCTACTATTAATAAACTCAAATTGTTTTATGATGTCCTCCCTACAGTTGCAAGGCTGTATCCTGGGAATGCACCGATATTTTGAAGAAGCTGGGCTTTAAAACCTGGTTAGTTTCTTGGTATCCGCAATGGAGCTGAGCCTTCTTCCATCAAAAAAAGTACATATTTAGGGTAGGGTGATGTTTACCCATTTGTTTTGGGATGAAGAAACAGTTACTTTAAACATGGGCTGAATTTAATCTCCTCTCCAGAAATGATTGTGTTACTTTCCGACTTTATTCCTAAACAAAATCCTGCATCTGTATTTTGCCCTCTAGACCCAAGTCACTGTGAGAAAAATTAGATTTCATTTTGAACGTGGAAGACAAGATGTGTAGATGTTCTAGGCATTCACCCAGGAGCAAACAGATAAAAATATGTACCAGAAGTGCATGGAAAAGAGATGGCTCAGTGGCTTTTGCCACTTATGTGGCAAAACTTCCTTATGTCTAGATTATCTTCACTGATAAAGCCTTTCTTGGTGCTGTAGTAGGACCTTTGTCATCTGAGAAGTTTCTTGTTTTGTTAAGTTACTAAGGCTCAGGTGGCCCATGGCAGAGTACATGGAAACTTCAGTACTTTCATAAATAATGCTCAGCTGCTTTAAGGCCCAAGCTGATGAAGGGCATTGCTCAGGGCACACCTGTGTTGAAGTGTGGCATTAGCAGTAAGGTAGCCTGCCTCCTTTTAGCTAAGGGCAATTCTGCTGGCATTGACACTGACGCTGAAACTCAGAAAAAGCATAATTAGAACCAAACTCAAAACTACTTGCACATACAGTGTCATTGTAAAGCATTGTACATGTCTTATCCACAAATGAAATTAATACATACAAACATACTAATGCTTGTCTTTCTTACTGCTTTCTGTACTGGCTGGACTTCCATAAAATGGTGGAATCAGAAGTTAGAGCATAAAACTCAAAATTACTTGATGGATGTTACAAACAATGCAAGAAGTTAAAGTAGGCTCTAGACAAATCAGGGAGCCGTCCCCTTCACCCACATAACAATCATCACTTAAATGATAACAATCACTAACTCTATTCCGTTTCTCATCAGAGACTGTTTCCACTTGGATCCTGACAATTTTAATTAAATGTGAGCTGATGACTTTTCATGGAAGCAATCTTGTAAATCAAAAGTGCAATTCCAGAGAGTGATCCTACCCTATTATAATTACAAAAAAGAATCTAAGCCTGTCTTTTCAAAGTCCTTGAGCATTTGCACTTCCTAGATTTAAGCTGGACTTATGCCTGACTCTTGTATCCAGGATGAGTTAGGACAACCCAGAGAAGAAACATGGCAAAAAGCAAGAAGGCTGTTTCCGTTAAACATTAATGAGCACATGCTTTCATGGATTTTGCACTTGCAGTTTAATCATAGAAATCATTCTGCACGGTTCTACTTCTAATGATCTGATTGTTAGGAGAAAGGCTGGCCCCAGTCCTATTGACTGTTTACATCCGAATGTGCTCTGTTTTTTAAATCTATTTCCAAACTAACTGTGGTTCTATTGTGTGATATTTCCTCTGCAGCATCACACATTTTCAGTCAGCATCAGCTCCTTAGCCATAATCACTTCCTGCCTTGGCTTCTGTTCAGTCCAGTAACTCACTGCAAAGCAGAGCTCCCATACATCCAGTCTGTACGTATGAAATGGTATAGATGCAGCGGTATTTAGGTGGCAGTTGGCAAGAAATGGTTTGATTAATTGGAAATGCTATAAACTGAGTTTGAGACAGCTATAGATAGCAAGGGGGGTTATTGCTACATGTTTTTGCTGGTCTTTTGCATGCGTGTTGCTTTGAATACAATTTTGACAATCTATCCCCTGTATCCGAGGACACAACATCACCTACATGTTGGTCAATGCGAATGCTGCAGATCCCAGCCATACACCACCAGCAGTTCTGACCAGGCTGCAGAAACATCACAGCATTCATCTGCATACAGGTTTCCATCTGCATCATAAGCAGACTTGAAGTCTGAAATTACACAAGTGAGAATTCCCAAAGATTTAAGTACAAAAATACAAAGCAAGAACCATAATTAAAAAGTAGCATTTTAGGATAGGAAGCTTCCATTTGCCTTAAAATATTTCTGTGAATGTTTTCTCACAAATTCTCAGTATTTCTCATGAGTAATGTGCAGATACAACATCTGTATCTGTGTTAAAGGGAATTTTACTACAGTGATCACTGCTGTAAAGCCCAACTTTGTTCATATTCAACAGGTTTCTATCCTGCTTATTTCTATTTTTTATGGATTATGCTACTTAAAATCCAGTTTCTTTAATTTCTCCACCTGAACACTTTTCATTCCTGTTTCTATGCAGAGCACTGTAATCACCACTGCTGACTTCAACACTAAATTAAAAATAAGATAGAGTATAGAACAACAAGAAGACTTCAGGACAACCATTAAAGATGTTTCAGTGGACAAAACCAGTACATGCACATGTTCTTGCACTCCCTGAAGTAATGAACACCTTTTATCTAAAACTGCAAGTAGCAGGAAAGAAGTTGAGCATTGAGTGAAATTTTTTGGCATTCAGTGCCACTAATGGTTACTGATTTAAGGCTGAAAAGCAGCAGCACGTTGTTCTACGCAAGTTTGAGTTCCTGGAACGTGCTACAAGGCTCCAGGAAGGAAGATATTACCGTGTAGATAAGGTCTTGCTTTTAGTGCTAGCAAGGAGTTCTTGGCAAAAGTCTGAATGCTATTGTGTTTTTGGCTTTGATTTCCACCTGCGTCAGTGGAGCTTTTATTTTCTTCAGGGAAAATGCTGCTGATGTAAGAAATATCAGCATTTCTGCCATTACTGTAAAAATTACTGTAAAAAAAAGGCCCCTGAAAGGGACCCTAAGACAAAACAGAGCACACTGAAAGAGCCTATCAGGAACAGGATTTCCAGGACAAACACCTGGCTCTTTACTATCTTCTCTCGTATGTTTTTAAGCTAAGTCTGGTACAAGTTTCCCCTCTCTCATCTCAAGGTTTTATCTATGACCTTTTGGCACATCTGGGTTTCATGGTTGTTTGTGAATACCTGGTACTTGAAGTATGCTTTATTATTTGAGCAACAGAGAAGCTAAAACTAATTGATATGACACAGCTTTTCTGGATCTTTACTGCAACTGAAGAATTTTTCCACTTTGAAAAAAAAAATCCACAGACTTATTTTCATTATTCTAAGAATTAACTGCAGTTTACCCAACTGTAAAGCAGAAATAAGAACCCAATTATTAAAAATTAGTAGAGTTGCTTACACAGGTGCCAAAATGTATCATAGACCAAATATAACTAGCAAGCATAAATCATCTTGTATTTCATAGGCATGACTCACATTAGTAGTTCCCCTGCTGTCAAGATGCATATAGAAGCTTCACACATGCTGAGCTTCCACTCTACTCTTCCTCTTCCCTTGCTGGGGACTAACATTCTCTAGCTTTCTTTTTCAGAATCACTAATACTAGGCCATCACTCTATGTCCACTTTCTGGTTTCAATCCCACTAATTTTTCCTACTTTGATTCCTTTATGAAAATAATGACATAAAAGTTACTCTCATTAGTGACCTGTTTTCCAGCTTGGACGGTGCTACAGGCTTGATTCAATGAAATACTGAAATAGTGAAAATACTCTGGTTATAATTCACCTTCCTGCATGAAATACTGTTTTATTGAGTGCTTCTCTGAACCATATACTTACAGGGACCCAGTTAGCCCCTATAGATTAAAGCCCCAGTAAGTTCAAAAGGCTTTAATTGCGTTATAATTTTAAAAAGCATATAAAGTTCTAAATTTGATTTCAATAAACCCCTTTTGACTATGTCTGCTGGCCTTGATCCCTTCATCAGTACATCCAGAAGAGGCTTTGGTCAAATCCAGACCTAAACCAATGGCATCAAACTGAAGGAAATGTTGGAGCAGAAATTGAAACAAAATGTGAACATAAGCCAAAAATCACAACTCTGAAAAACTTGACATTGCTGATAAGCATAAAGGCAAGCAACTTCCATGGGTTTTGGTTTTAAGGTTTTAGATAGAACTTTACTTCTGAGCAGGGCTCCATCTCAACAGGGCTCAGTTACTGCCCACAGTCCCAACCAGTCATGTGAGCTGGCCATCCTTTGCCTATCTCATTGCAAAGTCAACTTCACAATGCTCTGCATATAATCAACCCATTTTCTGGGCCAGCACTTTTTGTTAGGATCTTTTTCTAAAAGGGAGCTTAAATTTACCTTTCTCAAGATAGAGAATGCTCTAAGTTGAGGTTAGCCTGTCAGAGCAGATACAACTTTCTCAAGCTGTAGCTCCTCACAACTCTGGGCACACAGAGGATCTCAAGCCCAGAAAAAGTGCATGCAATAGCTGAGGTAACTCACCTGAAGGGAAGACAGGGTTTGCAATCTGTGTTTTAAACAGCAAACTTGTGAAACTTATATTCCAGATCACGCTTCAGCAATTTCTGAATGACTTGGATTTTTCATCTGGTCAGTCCCTGGATTTTATGGATAAACCTCACTACTGTGGGTTCCAGTTTTGTATCTGAGATCAGCACTTCAAGGATAACTCACATCAGCAGCTCGTCATATTTTAAATCTTTAAACAAATACAGGACCAAGGAGTTGCCTTGCAAATGATGTGCTCAAGGCACATGGTCTCCATATGCATTAACATTCCATGACTCAGCTTCAAACTTAATTCCTCAGCTACAAAGCAACAGATTTCCGCAGTCTTTCCAGTGCTTCTACACAAGTGTTCAACTTTTTTTTCAACTATAACCCTCCTAATACACCCAAAGCTGAGTAGAGCATTAAAAATCAGCTCATCCTGATACTCCTCTTTGCCTCTACATTTTTTTCTGCACTCTAAAGTAGCTAATTTAATAATCTTTCTTTGTTCTTTATCATTACTATTCACTTTCTTTTCTCTTGTGCCAATATCAGCGTTTCAGTTGCCAAAGGGCTTTTTTGTTGAATGTTTAATGAAACTGATTGATTCTTTTGACTTAACTAATTACAGCCAGATTTTACTGACTTTTGGTAACCAGAGAAAACCCCTGATTTGCCTGATTTGATGTCTGCTCAGCAATTCCCTGCAGAAATGTGGACAGAAACCTACAACACATTACTAGATCACAAGATGGATAAATATGAAAAAAGGTTAGCAGGGCTTTGCATGCTTCATCAAGAAGAATCTCAGAAAACAAGCTGGAAGTTACAAGAACTGAGAGACAGGTTTTATGAAGAACAAATATTTTCAGTTCAATGTATTTGGTTTCCAATGAACTTGCAATGAAAAGTACCAAATCCCACTTAATATTAAAACCAGTATAAACCCCTCAAACTTGCACATTAAATTGTTTTTTTTTTGGCAGCACATTTTTAGAGGGAAAAAATACTGGGCCTGTTGGCACACTCATGGACACAGAAAACAGCTTTGTTCCATAGTACTGACTTCCTCTTGCTGCCACCATACCAGCATTTCTGCTGGGTAGTCAATAGGACGTGGCCTAAAACACACTACACTGCACAGAGCTTGTCCCACTTAACTTGGCTGTTGCTGGTTTGTAAGAGGCCTACATGTGATTATGATTACATGGGACCCTTATATTCAATATTGCAGCAAGTTTTGTTGAAAATAAATAACTTACCTACCAAAAGTACTCTGGTGTCTTCTAAACTACGCTCTAAGATAATGGTTACACATTAGCAAACACACAATTCTCCTTCTGTAGATCTTACCCACATTTTGAGCAACGTGACAGCTGCTGAAAGGTGAAGACAGAGAATGAGTTGGTCTCATTCTCTTAATGGGCTTCAAATAAATGTATGTATTTGTTTTAAGTTTTGTGCTCCTGCTCAAAAGTCATTCTTTCTCCAATTTAATTTCTCCACAAGGATTAAGTCATTAAGAACTCCTGCACCTCCAGTATAGTCTTGAGGACTAGAGAACAATCTCTGATAAACAACAAAAAATGTATTATATGAATAAGCCATTAATTTGACTGTGAAAGCTTTCAACATTCTTCCTTTCTACACTAAACACACACACACACAAAAAACCAACCACAAGGAACAGTTTTCTACTTATGGCCAGAACTACACTTAGAGATAGTTAAACGGACTATTACACATCTACCTCCACATAATCCTGGGTTAATAGAAAAGAGCTTGGTTTAACTTTAGGAGAGAGATCTTATTTTAAGAACAAGGTACATTTACACACTATCAGGACCATCACTGATACTGATTGCTTTTGCCAGCATGCATTTCCCAGTGAACTCACGCAGCATAAAAACCCAAAGGAAATCCAATGAAAGTATCTTTAGTAAAATGTAGAAACTTTAATTTACATGCAAAACTACAACATATTCATAATAAAAAATTGGTGTCTAAACAAACACAATTTGTAAAAACTGTCCACGTTGTTAAATAGGTCTGTACAACCAAAGATTTACAAAGTCCCTGTGCATTTTCATCTTTTCAGTGCACAACTGAGTTTAGGGGTTCTGCTCGAATATTCCCCAAGTCAAGAGCTGAATCCGTCTCTTCATCAATTTCACCAATGACAGCACTACAATAAAAAAAAAATGAGGTTATTATTCCTTAATCACACACTTCTAAAACAGAAACTGTCATTTTCCTTTTAACAACCCTTATTTGTTGTTAATCATATTGACTTTTTCTGATTGATGCTGCATGTTCCCTGCAAGCTTCTAGTGATGCACACTGTCTGGAATGCCTGGAAGCACTTTATATTATGACTGCTTCTTCCCTTTTATTTTCCAATACCTTCCCTATTTTATGAGTCGCCTATTTTGAAGTTACTGTTACTTAGCCGTTGATTCTTTTTACTTCTTCCTATAAGAATATTAAATGTCAGTTTGTTAAGAGTTGCAAGAATACCGAATTATTCCTTGTAATGAGTATGTTTCCAAGTTTGTTAAGTTTGCAAAAAAATTAGAATAAATTCTATAAAAGAATATTTTGAGTATACTTGAGTATTGTAGCTGTCTGGTATGATGAAAGAGTGAAGCAGTAAACAATTACTTGGCTTTTTATACACGTTTATAGTATGTGAATAAAAAGTTACTGGTAGAGTAGCATGCTTAGTCCTACCTTTGCACATGTGTCAATTTACTTTTTCTTAAAAGCCTAAGTCAAATGTGATGAAAGCATTCCAAAATGTCTCAACGATGTCAGATAAATGCACCTAGATATAAATTTAACTCTTGATATTTCTTTGTACAGAAATATCCATTAGAATTAGAAGATGAAAACTCCTATCCAGGCTCACGTGTTGGTCACTACAACATACCCTTTTTCTAGTTGTGATTAAAAAAAAATATTATTTTTGCCATCAGTTTCAGAATGCTGCTGCAAAAGTAATCTTCCTAGCAGGCCCACTTACCAGGCTTTCTTTCCACTTCTGTTGTAACCCTCCCATGTGTTGGGCACATCAGCTACTTTTCTCTGCATTTACTGAGCTTTTACTCTCATTTTGTAAGCGTATTTACATCAAGTATCAACTCGTACATTTGACCCACTAGATCAGGTTGCTCAGAGCTCCATCCAACCTGGCACTGACCACTTCCAGAGATGAGGCATCCACAACTTCTCTGGGTAACCTGTTCCTGTGTCTCAGCACCTTCTGAGTAAAGAATTTCTTCCTAACAGCTAGTCTCCATCTTTCCTCTTTCAGTTTAAAACCACATTTAACATTACAATGCAATCACTTCTGTAACGTAAATGTAGATGATTGCTCTTTAGTACATAATCAGAGTCATCTAGGTCTGAAAAGACCTGTAAGATCCAGGCCCCAGCACTGCCAAGCCCACCACTAAACCCTGACTCTAAGTGCCACTTTTACACATCTTTTAAATATCTCCAGGGATGGTGACTCAGACACTTCCTTGGTTGCCTCAGCTTTGACAATACTTTGACACTACAGTGCTACTCACAGATACAAAGGTGCAAGGTGTCTGGGGCTATCAAGATTTATACAGATAATATACATATATACACAAACACATGCACACGTACATACTAAGTTCATATGAACAGATTTAAACAAGGACATGCTATACTTACACATTATCACCTCTTACAATGTATAATCCCAGCACTACTTGCTCAACTCCTTGTGAAGAACTGAACACTCGTTCATGGCTTTCATCCAAAATCAAGTTGATGGTCTGATCAAAACCTTTGAGTGTTCCCTGAAAACAACATACAAAAATAAAGCACTTCAGTTAATTCTTAAATTTATCATATTTGCTCTCAAAGATATCTTAAACAAGGTAGCAAAATTAAGGTACTAGAGAATAGATATTCTATTTAGGTTTTATTGTTTGGCTTAAACACAAATAGCCAAAGAAAGTAATTTTCAAAGCAATAATCAATTTAAGAAAAGTGCACATTTATTACTGAGTGTTCATGCTGAAAGCTAAAATAGGCTTTAGTATTAAAAGAAGTAAAGTTTCCCTTGTATCAGTGACAGACCTCTAAAAACCTAATTTTACTGTTTTTACACTGTTTTAGTCTTCCTTGTATGGAAGTTTCTAGAAATCAAATATTTAACTAAAACAAAAACCAGAAAAATTGGATTCTTGTGGTCAACAATACTGAAACCATTCCTAAAAAGCAATTTTAAGTGGTATCTCTGACGTAAATTATTTTGTGTTTAGTAAATTAAAATTATCATGCTAATATTCACTTATATCATCTAACCACATAGCAAGGAGTCACATATACCAACTCCATTCAAATCTTTTTGGTACAAAGTATCTTGTAGCACAACACAAAGTTTATCAGACTGACTTCAGACACACAGATTTGGTGAGGCCAGTAGTTTTTCTGTTTTTCCAGAGGCTGCATGAAGCTAAGTACAGACAGAAAGATACAATCCTCATGCAACAATCACACCGTTAAGTTACACTCAAAACACATACGCATAAAGGTGTGTGTGAGGGGGGAAGTGATGCAAGAAAAAAAACCACCAAAACACAGAAGCAATAAACCCAAAATATTATACAGTCTAATATATAAGTTGGCCAAACCTCAGGTTTTCAGGCATAAACAAATCCCACAGCAATTCTCCAGCAATTCTCCAGCAATGCTGGAAGAAATGGTTCTACCATGAAAGCTGAAAAGCTTACAGGACAAAGAGGACATTTTAGATAGAAATCAAATTACTGAAGAGAAATGCATTTTCTTGTGCATTTCCACAGAAAACTTAATTTGACAAAAAAGTCAAAGCATGTGTATGCAGAAATTTATCAATGGATAAAGCTGATGTGAAAGAATCAGTAAGCATTTACAACATTTTTTTAAGCCTTATGGCCATTATTCTGTACTCTATGATTTAAAGGTGTGAATATGTAACTGAGAATATCCTAACACAGCTTCTTTATTGCCATGATGGAAAATCTTTATGGGGGAAAATAAAATGTTAACAAATACAAGTCTTACCACAATCATTCTTCCATCAGAAGTAATTACTGCAACAGTACCTGGTAGTTTATTAAGGAAATGTTTAATGATATCTGAAATAAAACCATTATGATTTTCTGAGACATTCATATGTAATATAGGTTTTAAGAGCCATTACGAGCCAGAAAAGCCTATCAGCATTTTTTTTAAAGCAGCATGGTTGATAGCAGCAATTGATAAAATAGCATTTTTATGAAAATCTCCTTTAAAGTTTCACTTCACCTAACCATGGACAATCATACACAAACATGAACAGCATTAAAAGCAGAATAAAGATTTGAGTTCACCTCTCTTCCCATTACTAACTGCATTGCCTCAAAATTGCAAAAACATAAACAGTTTTATAAACACTTTAAGTCCTTAAAAAACTGCTCTGAAGGGGTGATCCTAAGCCTAGCATTCTCCATCTCCATAATATCTCATTATCCCAATTGGGTGACCACATATCCATCATCCTGAATAGTTTCGGGTTACTGTCGTATTGTTTGTGAATAAAACTGAAAATGCCCATGGGTTACAAGTACAAAAAAACAGCACGAAAAGCGTTCCAAGAACCCCAAGTCCCGGGTTTTGAACAAGTGATGCAAAGCTGGTAACTAAAGGCGCGTTAGGAGCTCTTGGGGTGGGCAGGCCCACTGCGAATCTCGCTCTTCACCACGGATCGTGCAACGCTGCGCTTTGCAGCACGGGGTGCTGCTGGGGGACCCTGTTCTCCGAGTGACCTCCTGTAACCTCCGCCCTGCCTGCCGAGCCGATCTCTCTTACGGAGAAACCGACACTGCCACCCGGGAAGGGCCCAAGCAACGCAAGCCGCCACCAGCCCCGCCCTCAGGGCCCCGCGCCGCCAGGCTCCCCTCCCCTCCCCTCCCGTCCCGTCCCGCCCCCGCGGCCACGCAGGAGCGGGAGGCCGGTCGGGCGGGTCCCCGCCGTCCGTGCCCCGCGGCGGATACGGTTGATGTAGTTCTCCAGCGCGGAAGTCATGGCGGCGACCCGCACGCGGCTCACCCCGCGCGCCTCTACGGCGCGCGACGCTGACGCGCGACCCGGCGCGCAGGCGCACAGCCCGGCGGCCGGGCGGTGCCGGGCCAAGCCTCGGGCACGGGGAGATGGGGCGCGCATGCGCAGACAAGCAGGAGGTGGTCAGGTGGCGCGGAGGGGCGGGCGGTACCAAGGGGCGGTTGGCGAGAGTGGCGGGACTTATCGTGCCCCCTCCGCGGCACATGGCACCGCCCGGGGGTGGACCCTCCGGCCCCTCACACAGCCCTGACAGCCCCGCCGACCCCTCACACAGGCCCGCAGGCCCCTCACACAGCCCTGCAGGCACTGCGGAGGGGTTTGGCCGGGGAGCGGTGGTTTGGCGTGGAGCGGGAGGGCTGTTTTCCTGCCCAGCCGAGTGCCTCGCTGCCTGGGTGTAGCATTTGTGTCGCCGGCTCATTGTCCACATGGAGACCAGTGACGAGTCGTGTCCCTCAGGGGTCGGTACTGGGCTCAACACTGTTCAGCATCTTTGTTGGTGACGAAGGCAGTGGGATCGAGTGCACTCTCGGCAAATTTGCTGGTGACACCTAGCTGTGTGGTGCAGTTGACATGCTGGTAGGAAGAGATGCCATCCAGAGGGACCTGGATAGGCTTGAGAGGTGGGGCCATGTGAACCTCATGAAATTCAACAAGACCATATGCAAGGTCCTGCACTTGAATCAGGGCAATCCCAGACACACCAGCAGGCTGGGCAGAGAAGTGACTGAGACAAGCTTTGCAGAGAAAGACTTGGGGGTGACTGTAACCCCACAGGTGATGGTTGATGAAAACTCAGCATGAGGCAGTGGTGTGCGCTCACAGCCCAGAAAGCCAATCCACTCCTGGGCTGCATCAAAAGCAGCGTGGCCAGCAGGTCAAAGGAGGTGATTCTCCCCCTCTACTCTGCTCTGGGAAGACCCCACCTGGAGTACTGCATCCAGCTCTGGGGCCTCCAAGATAAGGAGGACATGGAACTGTTGGAACAAGTCTAGAGGAGGGCCCTGAAGTTGATAAGAGGACTGGAGTACGTCCTCTGTAAAAGCAGGCTGAGGAAGTTGGGGCTGTTCAGCCTGGAGAAGAGAAAGTTGTGTGGAGACTTCATAGCAACCTTCCAGTATCTGAAGGGGGCCCACAGGGAAGCTAGAGGGGGACTCTTCATCAGGAACTGTAGCGATAGGACAAGGAGTAATGGGTACAAACTGAAAGAGGGGAAATTTAGGCTAGATATTACGAATAAAGTCTTTACTGTGAGGGTAGTGAGATACTGGGAGAGGTTGCCCAGGGAGGCTATGGGTGCCCCAACCCTGGCAGTGTTCAAGGCCAGGTTGGATAGGGCCTTGAGCAACCAGTCTAGTGGGAGGTGTTTCTGCCTGTGGCAGGGTGGGTTGGGACTAAATGATCTTTAAAATCCCTTCCAACCCTTAAACATTCTATGATTCTTGCTAATATGGGAATCACATGAATCTTCCCTTGGTTCCCTATGGGCTGCCGGTGTGAGGTGGGCAGATAGGAGGCCTGATTGCTGCCCCTCCACAGTGCCCCAGTGTTGTGGTTTAACTCCAGGCAGCCACCAAGCCTTACACAGCCCCTCGCTCGCTCCCCCACCAGTGGGATCGGGGGAAGAATTGGAACAGTAAAATCTGGAAAACTCCTAGGTTGAGATAAAGACAGTTTAACAGCGAATGCAAAAGCCGTACATACAAACAAAATGAACCAAGCAATTAATTCACCACTTCCCATGAGCAAACAGGTGTTCAGCCATCTCAAAGAGAGCAGGACCCCATCACATTGACTTGAGAAGACAAACACCATCACTCCAAGCATCTCCCCCTTCCTCCTTCTTCTCCCCACTTTTCTATACTAAGCATGGTATGGAATGAATATCCCTTGAATCCCATGAATACCATCCATGATATGGTATGGAATATCCCTTTGGTCGGTTGGGATCACCTGTCCCAGCTGTGTCTCCTCCCAACCTCCCATGCACCTCCAACTTGCTTGCCAGCGTGACAGTACATATAGCATAAAAGGCTTTGGCTGTGTGTGAACACTGCTCAGCAATAACAAAAACATGTCTATATTATCAGCCCCGTGTTCAGTGCAAATCCAAAACACAGCCCCATACCAGGCACTGTGAAGAAAATTAACTACCCCAGCCAAAACCAGCCCACTCGGAGAGCCTTGCAGCAGGGCTGTGGAGTGGGTGTCCACAGCCACCCTTGCAGAGCTGCTAAGTCCCATGCAGAGATGCTTTCTGTAGGAAGATGGCTGGATGTGGGAAAGATGAGGGTTGGGGAAGGCGGTTTTGTTGTGCCTGGATCCCAAGCTCGCATGTGGGCTTGCCTGGGCCCACACTGTGGTCTGCAGGTGAAGTGCAGTGGTCAAGCTCTGCAATCCAAGCAAAACTATGCATATCTTTAAAAAAATTTGCTGTGTCAAGTAAGTGGTGATTCTTATGCTGAGGTTTGGATTTTGTGCTTACATGAATTTCCTTTCTATAGATGTGGGAATGGCAAATAAGAATGCCCTGAAGGGACTCATGGTTTTTAATTTTTGTTTAACTTTAACTTTTTTTAACTTTACCTGTCACTAGCATGATTATTACTGGCTGCCACACTTTCTGGTCAGTGTACATCACGCTCACAAGTGTTTCCTTGGTATCCTTAAGAGTCCTGTGACATAGAGTGTATGGAATCTGCTGGATTCAGTGTAGCACTGGCAGTTTTCAGAACTGTAGGAAGCTGAACTGGTACTTAAAAAAAGAAGAAATATCTCAGGGAAACTAAGCTCACATTCAGTGACAGAACCAAAGTTAAGCTACAAAACTATTCTAAGTACTTTAGCTGTCTTTGCCTGTGAGAGTTAATATAATCATTGTTGGTATGCAACACACTCATACTGCAATATGTTGTACATACAGGCATCCTCTGCATTGCAATATATTCAGTGCCATGAATGTGCCCCTCTCATGGTATTTAATAACTGAGCAGTCTGTTGGAGAGACCTTGAGTCTTATACAGGTACAACTTCTTACAACAATCTATCTACCTGGCTTTTCAAAGCATGAGATCAGTGCTGTTGTTTAAGCACTGCTGGTCAAATATTCTTCATGGAGTCACATTAAAATAAATTTTCTTCCACCTGCTTTTTTGACAGTACTGGCTATTTATTGCACTGAATGCCAGCCTTTTTAGATGTAACACTGTATAGGAAACATTCTTTCAAAGTATAAAAACAGACGGCAGGCCATTTCTAGTCCAGTATATTGTGAAATGAAATGTTACATGAATTCTTGATTAAAAAAAAAATTTATTATAAGTTCATGACCTTCAGTAGGCAGAAAATTAGCTTGGGTTTTAGAATATGGAATTCCCATTTTTGTCAGGTTTTGGCTGAGACTGAGAAAACATAATCTCTCTGAAGTTTTCCTACCTGTCAGTAGAGATAGTGATTTTGATGGGCTTTATAAAATGGTCTAACATAACATTAGGTCTGTGTAGAATCAGATTAGATTTGATGAAGCACTGAGTAGATATTCATAAGACAAAGCTGTCAAAAATACCACTTTGAAAAAATGGGAGGAAATTAACGTTCAGATTTGTCTTGTTTTGTTTTCTTTTTGTTATATTGATTTCCAGGCTTTCACCAGTGAATTTCACAATCTTCTAAGAATTTCACAATTCTACTAAGAATGCATTTTTTAATACCTGGAAGGTATAATCAGGTAAGACAAAATAAAAATTCAAAGTTTTCTAGTCCCAGTTTTGTACAAGAAACACTGAATTACTTGACACAGATGAGGTACACTCCTTTGTTCTCTTTAACTGATAGAATGCTATAAAAAAAGGTCTCAGATCACATAGATGCAGACACAAATGAGGCCAAACTGATGCTGCTTAAAACATGTCAATTCTGCATTCCCTGACTTCCGTGTGTCTGCCTTTCAACTAGAAAAAATATTTTGTGGTCTCTTTTTTTATTTTACTATTAAGAGTCTACTTAGAATTTAGATTGTCACTGTCAGTACTAGCGCAACTTCCTTTTATTTCAATAAAGACTTCAGGGACAAATTGGAAGAGGTCCAAACTGGGACTTGGTGTCCAGCCCATGGTTTAATTCCTGAAGGGAATACAATTTCTGGACAGTAGAATGCTATTGTTTATTCTCCTTCAAGTGTGCCAATTGTTTTCTTGCACATCGTAGCCATCACAACCACAGGGAAAGCAAAATGAAGTATTTGAAGGCAAATTAACCAGAAAAAAAAAATTAATAGATGTTTCCTGGCACCTCTGAAGGTAACCACACCAAAGTATTCTCTCAAAAATTTGTCTAATGGCTCAACCTTTATCAAAAACAAGAGATATCAGATATCAGAGAACATAACGTACTTTTGGAATTGGGCATTACATAATACCCATACTCTTAAGCTTTTATTATAAAAGCTTTACTACCACTAGCCATTACACCAGGACTGGAATAGTTATTGTATCTTCCATGTAAGAGGCTGAATATTTTGTATGTGTGGACATTTTCCTTTTCATACTCTTCCTTCTCTCTATAAAGAGACATTCTCAAAGGCCAAATAAATGAGATCACTGGGATACAAGGATGTAGGTTGAAATCTTAAATACTTGCACGAGGACATTACCTCAATATCCGATCCTGAGAATCTCTAATCTATCTGTTTATATTAACAGTGTCACAGTGTCCCTGAAAAGCAGAGAAGGAGTTGGGGTTTTTTTGTTTGTTTGTTTGGGGTTTTTTAATTTCATAAAGGAGGACTAAAACCCAAAGAGTAAGGCTGGACTCCTGAAGTCAGGTGCCCAGGCTTTGCCAAACCTGGTGCTTAACAACATTCTCAGTATAGAGTTAGCACACTCAGTATGAAGGAACTCTGAAAAGAGAGTACATGGCTTTATCTACTCTTAGGCTCTCTCTGCCTTTTCCTGAGGGCAAGCAGCTGCTGTGCCCTTCTCACAGTCCTAACTGAGGTTCAGTCCTCTGTTTGAAACCACCACTGCTCTTATTCTCTTATAAGACGACCTCCCACATAGGACGTGGAAAACTTTAATTTAATTTAATTTAATTTAATCCCCGCATCTTTTTGGAAAAAAAAAAAATGTTGCCTGCACCTCCCCCTCAGTAGCAAGGCTTGGTAGACTAAGTTACAAACTGGGGGCACAATTTGCATAATGTTGTGGAAGCGGTGTCCCCTGCGGAGGGCGCACGGATCCATGAGGGAAGAGCCTGAAGCTGCGGGTGGGCTGCTTGCCCAGCAGGGGGCGGCCTGCGCTGCTGTGAGGGGGGCCTGGCCGCGAGCGCCGCGGCCCTGAGGGGAAAGGTGCCCTGGGTGCCTTAAGCCTGAGCGTGGCACCTTGGCCTGCTTCACGTAGAAAAATAATTAGTTTTCTGCCGGAGGATGAGATGCATTTCCCACTAAAGATGTCCATTTTTCCTCAGTGCTTACAAAGTCAGCCCAGTGTGACTCAGACACAGACATTTCACAGGTTCACACTTAGCGTTAGGCCAGACACATTTTATTCTCGGTGACCATAGTTGTCAATATAACATTGGCATTATAACATTTAGGATCAGAAACCTGTAGAGGGCAGCCCTTTGCCTGTTCCTTCCCCTCAGTTGCTGCAGAGCTGCCCTTGAGGACACACAAAGTAGCTGAATATGAGCATAACGCCCACTAAGCTCTCAATCGAAGAAACAAAACACCTTTGTAAAAAGGCTTTCCTTTTCTCTTGCATTGTTTAGATATAGCTTACTTGCTATATATTAAGGTTGCTATTGCAAATGATAGCTGTATGTTATGCTTTCTGCAGAATATGTAACCAATTAATAATGCCCTGGAGTGTCTGCACATTTTCCTACTTCCTTAATGTCTGCCAGGGCAGGAAGGAAACCCTGCAATGATAGTTGTAAGGTGTATGTGCAAGCAGTTATTGCGTGTACATTTGTTACCACCTAGCCTAAGGCTGGTGGAATGGATGAGTGAATGTTTTGTTGCTGCTTCACTGTATATCGCCTCTCCCGAGCCACACTAGCTTCTGGTAGCTTTGCTTTCCTTGGTTATTAAGAAGCAGCCTTGTTTTATAGAGCCAGGCATGCTGAAGGGTGAAATGGCTTTGTGACATTGTTGTAAGAAGTGAGGCTTGACCGGTACTGCTGTGCCACGGCATGTCAAGCCAATCCTTGTCAGATAAGATGGACAAAGGTGTGAGACCTACTCCTCAGGCTTCCTTGAAACTGAAAATCTAATATAATCACCTGACTGTTGGAAGAGGAGCTGTAAGAAATGTCTTGTGTAAAACCCCCCAAATTGGTAACATCTGTCAGCCTGCTCAACAGGGATTGCATCTCTTGGTTGCTGCTCAAGAAAAACATAGCATCTGAGGCAGGGAATAATGGAGTGGTACATACTGAAGAAGAATCACACAGTACAAACTCCAGAAGAGAACTGAGCACTCCCAAAATCCCCCACATTTAACTTACTTAATCTTTCTAACGCTTTCTGGGACACAAAGTTTTAAATCTCTCTGATTTTCACCAGCATGCCCAGATTGTTACTTCATAAACAGAGCCTAACCTTTTAGTTTATACACACCCAAGCTGGCTAAACATGATTGATTTCTCTTTATGGGTTCAGGAAAAACACAAAACATCCCTTCACCTCTGTTTTGTTTTTCTGAATCTGTAGAGACTCTAGGGTCCATTATCAGCAATGCAAGGACACAGATTTTATCTGGTAGTTGGAGAAAAGTAGCAAGACTTTGCTCAACCTTGCTCACCTTTTACTTCACTAGCTGCAACCTAAGGTGAGACGTGTTTCACATATATTATTATATCAAATGATGGGTTTGCAATGAAGCAACTGAAAAATATTATAAAAGGGTAACAGTCTAAAAATGGTTGTTAGACTCAGAATATAAGTTACAGTGCATTAGAAACAAATCTGTAGTGTGAAGTCTCAAAGGGCTTTTTATTTATCTTTAGAAACTCAGTGTTAACAAACACCTGCTCTAAATTTTGTTTGTTATGATAGCAACTGCTGCTATCATGGGAAACATTACAAAAATAACTTCACTCAAAGAGCTCCTTTGTATGAGAAAGTGCATATTTTCCCCAGCAATTTTTGCTAAAATATGCAAAATACCATAGCAATCTTAATGACTATATCCCTACTTAATGTGCTAGCATAAAAAATAACTTTGCATGTTTCTGTTTGCAGAAAAACAAACTTTTCCATTTTTCTCTGTGTATATTTTTTGTTGTTTTGTTCTGTTTTGTTTTGTTTTTTAATGGAAGAAACTGATAACAGCTATAGAAGTTCAGTATCATTATCCTTTCAGATAATAATTTTAAGGAATGTTATGAACTATTGGAGGGAAAAATGCCATTGCTAATGGATCATGTACCTACAACTACAAAATTACAGAGCAAATGGATTCTTGTTTTCAGTTGCTCTAAGCACAACACTAAGACAATTCTGTTGTACACAGAATAAATAATAAGCTTCAAGTAACTGACATTTACTAGTATGTCATAGAATCATTTTTACAGTCGTAGCTGAAACGGCATTTGCTAAGTTGCTTTCACAGAGCAGGCTTTTCCTTCTGATAGATTCCCTACTTCTCAAAGTATAATTAATCTTCCTGTAAAAGCACTGATCCTAATCTTTAGTCTGTGTTAAGATGACTAGAGATTCCAGTTTTAATTATGAAGTCCTTTATCTTAATACTCTGCAGAGATGCCCATTTGACCCCATTCCACTTTTGTTTCATTTGCTCTGTGGCACATGATCACCATGTAAAAGGAATAGCACATGGTCAAAGGGCTCTGTTCAGAGGTGACTTACATGCTGCCTGCTGCCAGATATAATGTAGATTGCACTAAAAAAATCAATATATTTCTGCTTTGTAACTTATATTGCATGATTATTTTTTGAAGTAGGTTATTCATTGTACCACAGAGCAGTCTTTTGGCACCAGAACCTTCAAACCAATTATGGAAATGGAGAAAGAATATACTGCAGATTTGGTCCTGCCCAGAAGAGGTGTTGGAACCCTTCTTATTGGAAACATCGGTGAAAAATTATCAAAAGGAAAGAAAGAAAAATAGGACAATCTACTTTCCTTTAACAGGCACTGTGTTTTGTCTGATAAAAGGCATAAGACCAAAGGGCAGAAGCAGGCCATTTCTTTTATCAGTAGGGTATGCTGTGAAAAACAAAACTTGAAGCACAAGCAAACAGAATTGCACCACCAGTAATGAAGAGAGGGGGCACACGAGGATGGCAGATGCTACTTTCTTCGCAGTCTTGAAGAGGGCTGTCTGCCTTGTCGTTATTTCTTGCCAAGGATTTTGCAAGCTACTGCTTCAACTGGATATTTTCTCTTATTACTCCCAGGATCTCTTTGGGAATTGCAGCTGGCATCCTTGTTCACTGCCAGAGTATGTGGTAGCTCTTTCACTTGGTACTCTCAGGCACTCTCTTCACATCCTCTGGTTAGTGTTTCTGCTGGCACTTCAGATACCTTCTAGTGATGACTCCTTTTAGCTGTTAATGTTCAGATACTGAGGTAGGTTAACTTATAGGGAATATAAATAGCTTCAGTGACCTATTTTGAGCTTTACTGAGGACCTTGCTTGTCCCAGCTGTGGTAGCTCACGATTCGCTCAGGCAGGCAGCTGACACCAGTGCTGGGGTCAGTGTTGAGGCCTTTGGTGTGAAGAAGATAACTTCATAACTCTATATGCTGCACTGTGGAATCTGGGCTGCAGCCAGAACAGGGGTATCTGGAGGGGAAGGAGGGATTGTGATTACAGAGATAATAGGGGTAAGAGTGATTGGCAGCAGAAGAAAGTCTTTCTTTTGGCTTACTGTTTGCACAGTTGGTCTAAATTGGGGAACACCTTTGTAAACAAGCAAAAAAAAAGTCAGGGTTTTAGATCATAACAAGATGCGATTTTGTTGTTGTAACTTCTTGTTTGAAGAAATATCCTGATAGGTAAAGCTTTTTGTTTGAAGCAGATCAGCTTCACAGCAAGAATTTACATTGTACTTAGGTTTTTTTCCTTTTATTTGCAGAAAAAAAATTGTTCTCGGATTAACATGATTGTGTGTCCAAGGCCTAATTGTCATTCTGGAGTGATGAACAACACAGGTAAACTCATACCCTGAAATTTCTAGGCTATTTGAATTGGTTCATCTAATGCCTGAAAGAACAAGTCAGTTTGCAACTCTATAGAGCTGCAGTAGCTGGGGGAGAAATGATAAACGGCCTTGAGAAGTGTCCTGGCTATGGTGTAGAAGGGTTACCATCACTGAACAGTATCTCACGTGCGATATCAGTGTCTCAGAGAGCACAACGCTAACCACTAGTAGCTTCTGCCTTTTTATTATCATCCACTGTTCTAGTGCATTATTGATTAATGCTGTTGAAAGCCAATCTTGCTGGTGTTTTATGTTCTGACTGAAAAACACTTAACATATTGGCCACATCTAATTGAATAGAAAGAGGAATAAATGAAATAGTGTTTGTAAGCACTCCCTTCCTTTATAATCATTGACAAAAGTATGTGTGTCTCTGAATATCAAAACCATCCTGAAGGCATCAAATTTCCAAATATAATGCTTTTTTATATATATATTTTTTAGTCAACTTCAGCTAGATATGCTGCTGCTACTAATATTCTGGAGACTCACATGCTTCATTTATTGTAGGGACTAAAAGTATTCTGTCCATTTAGTTAAGCATTACCATGTCTCAGAATGATTGGTAAATATTATTCTGATGGTTTACTAAATCTGTATGTTGAATTGCATAGACATTCACTGTAATAGCAGAATTTCTTTTGAAGTCAGTGGTGGAACTGTAAATAGAAGTTAGCTAATTCTTAAACGTTTGTATTACAACACCAGAAGACATTAGTCAGTATTAGGACCTCATTATGCTAAATCCTCTACACATGCATGTGAAGAGAAACAAAAAATTTTGCTGCAAGTACTTTGAATAGTGAATAACCAAGAGAAAATGCGTAAGGAAGAAGGTGTTAATATCTCTGTTTTGATGCCCTTAATAACATGCTTTAACTTTTGGTCAGCCCAGAAGTGGTCAGACAGACTAGATGATCATTGTAGCTCCCTTCCAACTGTAAATAGTCTATTCTCTTTTATTCTATGGTATTTTACAGTCAGAATGCAAAGAAAAGTAATTTGCCTAAGGCCGCTGTGTACCACCACTAGAAAAAAAAATTAGATTTCTGAAATATGTTCCAGGCAATTTGTAATAGTTTATTTTACAAAACGCTTTTGGTCTTTGAGTAAGGTACCCTTGCTTCCCCCTAAGCATGTTATTTGATACAGACCATGTATGATCATTTCCCATCTTTCCTCTTGTCTTCTCATTTCCAGAGACTCCAGGACTTTGCTAATCACCTTTCTTCTCTTTCAGCTTCAGGGAAAAAAGTTCCGGAGTGGGATATGGACCATAGTACACTACATGTGATGTAAAGAACTATTATCATCTCCCTCACCTGCTTGCCTGTCTTATAATTAAAAAAAATAATTATATGTATCTGGAAGAAATAATTAAAATGGAGATAATATTTATTGCCATTGCTGGTGATACTGGCATGACATATTAGGGTGTTTATGTATCTTTCAAAAAATGGTTTGTGATTCTTTTATGTCAGATAAGTGATGAGGCAGGTGTGATTCCTAGGCAAAACAGACCCCTGCAAATTGAATCACAGTACCAAGGTAAGACTGTCATTGTGCAAGCCTCTTCTGCCCTGAAGCTAATGTGTACAATCTGTTTTTGCAAGTGCTTTCATATTTTTGTTATTTATTATAAACATATACAGCACGTAAGTGTTTTTATTATTGGCTGACTTTGGTATTTTGTAGTCACGATTGTGGTATTTAAACAGGAGATGATCTGTTCTGCACATGGAAAAGGGGCTGTGTTATGGAGGAAATAATTTAAAAAAGTGTTGCAATTTTTTGGCAAGAGGGTGTTATGATTATATGTCAAAGAATATACCCGATGTTCATTATGTTCATGCACAAACCCATGGCGATTTGTATCTGATTTCTAGTCTGTACCTAGGGAGCATTGTCTTTGTGTTAGAAATGCAAGTATGCTATTAATTTGTAAAGTTCTTACATGTATATAGTCTCATCTATTTCTTTTTTAGCAGATGTATAATATTGCTTCCCAATTTCACCCTAAGAGCTATGATTACTTAGATTAAATGACGAATGTCACTTTAATAGCAACTTTTGTAAATAATGGAGATCTTTTTATAAACCTTCATCATATTAACTTTATATTAATATCCAAAATGCATTTGGTATGATAAAACAGCACATTGCCATTGGTTAAGAAAACTCCTTTCAAAGAATTTGCCTGGCAGTGATTTTTAGAACACATTTCAAGACTTTCCGAAAGTCTTGAAATCAAGCATGACATTATTGTGTTATAAAAATGTGTTTGGTGAGGGACACATAGTTATTTTCAGTTTCCAGATGAAGCAGAGATGATAATTTATCTCCAGTCACTGCTAGAAAAAATTTTTAGACACTTATAGACTGCGGGCTTTTTTTTTCTTCTCCTGCTGCACCATTGTTGTACGGAGAGATTATTTTTACAGGAGATGTTGTGTCCAGGATATACATATCTAGCTGAAAGTTGTCTCAAGGTAGGAAAACTCCTGAAACATTCATCCCTCACATCTCAGGGGTATGATTTCCAGGCAAATGCTCAGCTTTAGAAATTGTGCATCACAGCACTGTGCATGTATATATTGGAACACGAAATGCCAAGTATAATGCCAGGTTTTCTGAAGCAGATCTATCTTTTAGTTAAAGTATTCTTGCACTAAATTTGTGATTAATAAGTAATGTTCTAGCTGAACAAAATCTCAGTTCAGAAGGGTGCAGTTGCTGCTCTGGGTTTAGACATTGTCCAGCTAGGGGCCTCAATGCAGTGCAAGAATTCCAAAGGCAACTCTTTGAAGTGAAAAATAAAAAGAACATGAAGGAAGCTGGCAACAAGTTTATAACAGCTAATGCTCTTATAAACATATTTTGAACAATGCTAGTGTATTGAATTTAGGGGGTGAGTGGGCTAGAGCCACAGTGTATTGCTTCATATTGGTATTTTTTTCTCATATGGGTCTTTAGCATTTTTTTCCCTCCACATGGTTACCAAGGAATGCAAAGCAAGCTGTCACTGTGTGTAAGATGCAAGCAAGATCTAAGAGCTCTAGAGCAGTTGAGAACATGGATACAGCATCTTGGGTATCAGGATGACACTATGCTGGCAGAGGATCTGTAAGGGACAGAGGCTTCCATTTCCTGCTGTCATTTTGTCAGGATCCAGGTCAGCTGTGTTATACAGAGAGAAAGTGTTGTCTTCAACATGGGAATATGTCTCTATAGCACCTCAGGTTGAGGGGGGTCACTGCCTTGGAGTACAGGACACGTTATGGGTTATGGGCAAGAACATTTTGACATTGTGCAAAACTTATCACAGGATGTTTAGGGAAGGAACAACAAGCAGGGAAAGGGAGTGATAGAGATTGTTTGGGGAAAAAGATCTTGGGGAAAATAGAGAGATAAGGGGCTAAAAGGGGGCAGTTGCATGTAAACAGATGGCTTTTCTGACCATGCCCTCTACTGGGTCATCAGAATCTGTCCTGTCTTCTCATTAAACTCCATTTTTAAGTTCCTGCATGCAGGGCTCTTTTCTGTATTTATGTAAGTTTGAGAGGCCAGCTGCTGGCATGGGACCATGGGACCACAGGGGCCCCTGCTGTGTTGCTAATAACTGGAGTGGGTGAGAGTATATAAGAGAGAGTGTAATGGCTCCTGAACTGGTGATCAATGTGGATTTGCAAAGTAGTTGAAGTGACCTGGGAGCCAGCTGTGCGCATGTGTCTCTGTAAATGAGAGAACTGGCAGGTACAGAGTAGGAGAAAACCAGACCCTTTTATGTCTGGAATGCTTAGCACCCATTTTCTATATCTTTCTATAAAATAGACCTCTGTTCTGCATCCAGTTCACTTGCTGTAATTGTTTACTCAGGAAATCTCTGGATTGAGAGTGTCTGTTAGGCAAACAGGCATGTGAATTGTAACTAGGCAGTCTGGAGGAGAAGAGGAAGTACTGACTGCTTTCTTTCCCAGGCTCCTGAGGAAAACCCCCCTGCATGAAATATGTACTACCTATTGTCATGTCCTGCATATAAGAAGTCTTCACAGTGTACCTCAAAGATTTCTTCAGGGTTCTGTCACACCAAATCTCACCATTTCCACACGATTAATTACTGCCAAGGACAGTCTCAAGCAAGAGCCAGTAATGCATGGATATCTTTGCATACACAAAGTGTGGCAAAGCATATAGGCAGATGTGTATGCTTGTATGCAATACAAGTTTCAATGTATGGTATGGCTTCATGATGAGATATGAATAGTCCCTTACCAAGTGTGAGGCAATATTTTGCCTTAGTGTGGACTAATGATTTTTTTAACATTTAGTGAAGGCTGAGGAGTGGCCCTTTTTAACAGGTGCTGCTTGCAGGAAGGCGAGGGATGATTGCATGTGGCCCCAATAGGCATACCGGATGTTTGAAGAGGTGAAAGCAATGAAGATTTGAGAAGAGTGGGTATTGATGTTGTCTCCTGAATAAATTAAGAATCAGTAAGTGCCTTACTGGGGAGCAGGAATCAAGGTGGAAGTGAGAAGGACAAAATAAGAGGCTGTAGAGGTGAGGATTAATCCAAACAGATGTTAATGCAGCGAGGAAGTACCTGCTCCCTGGCTGAGATCTTTAAATTTGCTTCCACAGGATATGGTGGATTTGCATAAGGATGGCATTCTGAGCTCCATGGTCAAGAGGTACTGGCTGGACATAATAGAGTATAGGAAGCTCTCTGCATGCAATTTGATAAGTAAATACAAACATAGTCATCTTTATTTCTGTTCAGCCATTTGCTACCTTCTCTTTCTATCCAGCAACTTAAAGTGAGAAATACAGTGCCCTAGGCACACTTTCCTACCAGCAGGTGGGTCCTGCCAGGGGGTGGTATGGATATTAGGAGCTATGAAAAGTTAGGTGGGATGATTGGACCCTGCAGGAATCTAACACTGCCTCTCACTCCTTCCTCCCCACCAAGTTCAATAAATCAATGCACAAAAGCTGTTTGAAAAACAACCAATTCAAAACAAAACTTAATTTGTGTAATTGTAATTATTTGAATGCTAAGCAACACCTACAGTGAAGCAAACTGTGTGGTGGTGGAGCTGTTATGTCCTTTACAAAATATTTAATAGAGTTCCATTCTAAAAAAAAAAAAAGGGAAAAAAATCTTTGGTAACAAGTCTATTCTAGAAACTTTCCACAGCAATTTTCCATGGTGGTTTCAGAGTAATCTATTTTGACAAATTCAAATATCAGCAGAAACTGTTACTGGCATAGGTTTAAAGTTACTCGTATGATATCACGATATCATATGGTATGGTATCACGATATTGTGATACCATAGTGAAAAACCACACAAGAACCTCTGTTACTCTTGTGTGAGCAGGTGTGCAGAAAAAAACAAAAAACCACTGAATGTCAAAGACATGATTCTGTTGGAGATATTAACCCATCTGGCCTGAGATAATAACATAAAATTTTGTAGTGTCTTTTGATTTAGTAAGTCTTTGGTAGTTTATGCTTTCTGAAGATGTGTGCCAAACAGAGTATCACCATCTTTCAGTTCATTTAAAATGGGAGATGGGTAAGATCCATCACCCTTTCCCTGTGTTCTGGCCCAAGCTTGTCCTGGAGAAGATAGTGAAATGTGTGCATGTTGGCTATCATGTCACCCCAGCAGGCACAACACCAGGACTAGACTGTAATCCTTATCACATGTACATTAGTATTTCCTTTCTCTCCAGTGGAGTTTCACTGCTGTTATGAGGAACATCAGCTACAATTCCCAACTGTTGGAAAGCAACCAGAAATTTGGTTTCCACAGATGAAGCAGTATTTTAAAGCAGCAGTGTTTTAAACACGGCTGTTTTATCTCAGATTCACTAAGTCTTTGAATATCAACAGGAAGCTTGATATATAAACCTAAGTTTTATGGCTTTAATCTTTATAATTTTAATATAGCCTTATTTCTAAAATGGATTTCATTCATATAACCACTGTGTAGTAATGCCTTACAGGCACTGTTAATTCTTTATCCGGGATTACAAATATGCCTAAGAATAAAATGGAAGTAGATGTTAGGGTATTAATTTATGCATTTTTTGAAAACGTCAAAATCATATAACCTTATGGCTAATGATTTAATTTAATTATATGGCTACATTTTCATCTTCAAAGAAACCTACAAACAATGACTAATTAATCCTTGCAGCAGCCCTTTGAAATAGATAGATAGAAATAATTAATCCCATCTAACCAAATCCTTGCCCAAGGCAATACATGGAATCAATATTTAAACCAAGATTAGAGGTCACTCTTATTCTCTCGTCATTTCACTAAACTAGCAGTTCCCAAGTTTCCTTGCTGGTATAGTTTAGACGGACAGATGCCTGGGCCTGCACCAACTCTTCATTCTCTGTCTTCCACCTCTCTCCCAAAATGCTTCCTGTCCATCTTCCTCTCAAAAATTACTTCCACTTCAGTCAAGCCACGTGTGGAATGTGCAACATTGCCCCTCCAAGATCCTGTACCTGGTTTTTCCTTGCTTATTTGTATCACTACCTGACCAACTCCTTGTACCCACAGTCCTCCTCTAACAAGTTCCCTGTCCTCCAGGTGCCATTGCCCCCTGTTCCATGAAGCCCTGTCCTGTGCACATTGGCATCCCCCAGGGGAATTGCCTCTCTCTTCCCCTGCCCCTGTCTCCCCTCAGCAGCTGTGAGCAGCTGGTGGGATTGGTGTAGCTGCTTTGTATCTTCTGGATGGCTCACTCTTGTATGGTGAAAAGAGAGAAGATTGAAAATAAGCTTTGCACTCACTGTTCTCATAGACCATGGCCCATATCAAGGTGCAGCCTATGATCTGTTATTGAAGGTAGAGGTTTCTGAAAGGCTTTGCAGCATATTATGAGTTACAAAAAGAGTTTATAGGTTCAAGGGCAGACATTGTCTTTCCGGTAGTATTGAAGTCTAATGAAATTCATGAGTACGGAGATGAAGAGAAGTTGACATAGTAACAAATAATATTACTTGCCTGGAAACTGGACTAGTGATAATACTGACTGGAGTGAGGCGGTTCTGAGCACCATAGTGACCAGCAGGGATTGCAAAATGACAACAGCTGTTTGTGGCAGATTGTGATAATATCCTGATTTGACAGAAGAAACTTATTCTGCATAGCATGTAGTGATGGATGGGGTACAAGAAAAGAGAGGAAAAAACAATGGAAGAGGAGATTCCCATCTCATGTTATCAAAGTATGGCACAAAAACCTGAGTAAGTGCTAGAAACCTGGACTTCCCACCATGGCAGTGTTTAAGATCTTGTCAAATCTTATTGGGCTTTATCTTCTCTTATCCAGTAAGAAATAGAGTTAATGTGATGTATCCTGTAGCTGTAGATAACAAAGCTACATTTGTATTTGCGCTTCGATGTAATATGTCAGACTAGAAAAGGTATTCACAGTGACTATAGAGATACTGCTCCCCAACAAATTAGTGAAGGGACCAGAAGTATTCCTGCAGGCAGCTGATCCAACTGCTGTAGGTTGACATGACATAAGTTGACATGCCATACTAGCTGACATGCCAAACTTTCCTTGTACTCATCATTTCCTTTACTTTATAGAA